TATTATGTTTCCGTATATGCCCATAAAACAAAAATTTTTTGTTTCACACATAAACTTAAATGTTCTCAAAACAACTAAAAAACCTGGCCAGTTTTTCGCAACTAAATATAATTTCTGTGGTCAGTATTTATAAGTGATCGCTCCCGCTTCCCAACCAAGCTTGTGGAAACATAAAAAACTTGAATGTTCTCAAAACATCTTGGTGCGGAATAATAAAAAGAATATTCGCGAACACTAAAAACCCGCCAAATTAATGAACAAACTAATTCTATTGGTTCAAAAAATACGCTGACTAAGCAAAATAAAGTTCTAGAGTATTTTGTTATTCGGAGCCACATCTGCAAAGCCGTAAATCTTATAAACTATTATTATTTGTTTACAAAATTAAATGATTTAAATATATATTATTTAAATTGTCAAAATTTTGAAAGTTTATTATAAATTAAAGATTTTATTAGTATATTCTTTTTTTTTATTAAAAAAAAAATATATTTTTTATGTAAATCTAGTTTTGTGTATCTGTTTTTTATTGTAATGTAATCTTTTGAAGCAATTTTTATGATTTACTTTGTAAACAAAGACTCACAAAAATAATTGTGTTTTCAATGAAGTTATTAATAATCATCAAAGTTAATAAAACTAGTTATGTAACAAACATATAAGAAGTTTCTGGTTACTAAACACAAACAATGCATACAAAGTAACTTGCAGATGAACAAGCACGGCGCCTGAGGTCACGACAAAACACTCACACACAAAAAAAAAAGATATAAAGAAAAGTTTCAAGATATTGGTTTACTAACTCTAATTATTTTCGCTTAAGTTGCCATTCTTAAAAACTTGTTATACGTTTTTCTGCTTTAAATACTAATTAAAATTAAAAAGCCTACTCGCTAAACATCATCAGCAATATTGTGAAGCAGTTTTGCTTCCTCGTTATAAAGTATTTTTAATTTTATTTTAAAAAACGTCGCTTAATTTTATAAAAAAATTATAAAAGAGCGATGTATTAAAAAAATTTGTTCTAAATGTAATTTATTTTGCTTTTTTCGCGCTAAAAGATTTTTCATTTTCCTTTTTTTTTTTTTTTTGTAATTGTCTCTCATGGGTCCAATTAATCTTTTGCACTTTTTTTTTGCTTTTGGAAATGTTCTCGAAACCACTAAAAAATCTGGCCAGCTTTTCGTAACTTAATATTATTTCTGTGGTCAACAATCAAAAGCGATCGCTCCCGCCTCCAGACCAAGCCTGATAATGGTAATTTTTTAGCCAACCTTTTTGGATCAAAGCTGAATTGGTTTAAAGAACTGCAGGGGCCAGGGCTATGATAAGGGGGCTAATATGTCTGGTGTATACAAAGGAGTGCAGGCCATCATTCTCGAGAAAAATCCTCAAGCTTTTTCATAACTTACAGTGCGCATAACCTCAATCTAGCTGGCATTCATTCTGCAGAATCCTCTACTGTAGTCAAGAACTATTTTGGCAACATATAATCATTGTATAATTTTAGTAGCAGCCCATGCGCTGGAAAATTTTGACTGAGGCAACTGGGCAGTCCTTTCACCAATCTTCCCAAACAAGATGCAGTGCGCACATAAAGACTGTCTGGCCATTGTTAAAACGACCTAAAGAAATACTGAAGTCCTTGAAACTTCTTAAAGAACTTGATTTAGTTAATCATCAACTGACTTTAGTTAAGGCACTCAAAAAATGGATTCAATCATTTGAATTCATTGTCTTGACTTCTTTCCGGATCAAGGCTCTCCTATATGTCAACGATGTCTGTTCCCTTCTTCAATCAGAAAGCATTTCTTTAGAGGACAATACAAAATTTCAAAAGACTCTAATCAATTAACTTGGCCAACTACGTTCTTCTTGGCCCCAAATCCTCCAAGAAGCAAAATTGGTTGCTACTGGGTTAGCTTTGATTGGGTTTCTAAATGATTTTGTTAAAAAAAGGAAAAGGAAAATACTTCATGGCAAGTTGATGAACATAGCCCACTTCCACGAAGACAAATCAAAAGGTTTTGAGGTGAGTTTATTTAATGTTACTCTTTACACGCTGCTCCAGCAGATAAGATACATAATGGATACAGCTCAAAAGGCGACAGATATGTTTTCGTATATATGGTGTTTTCTATCTCTTTCTAGTGATGAAGAAAAACTTAGTCAGAGAGAAAAATGCAAAGTTATGGCAAATCTCTACACAAATGATGTAAAAGAAGTGGAGTTAATTGAAGAAATCCATTATCTAGATGTTCTGAAGCAACCAAATACTTTTGGACAAATAGAATCTCTTTCTTCTATCAAGTTGATCAACAGAATCTACCAGAAAGGTCTTCAGTCAATATTTCCTTTGATCTGCATTTTGTTTTTCATTTTTAATACAATCCCGGTTTCAGTGGCTGAAGGAGACCACTCTTTCAGTAAGCTTGCTCTCATCAAATCCAAGTTGCGATCAACAATGGCTGAAGAATGCCTTACTAACCTTATGGTAATTTCAATTGAAAACGACCTTGTCGAGACTTTATTGTACGAAAATGTCATCTCTAGTTTCGCAAAGAAGAAAGCATGCAAAGTGAAGTTAGTGTGATCTGACAATTCTTCGTAATTAACATTTTATTGATGAAATATATAATTTCATTCATTTTAACTTGTATTTGTATTTTCCCTTTATTATATATAACCAAGTTCAAATATAGAGTGTTTATGTACAGCAATAGTTAATATAAAAATAATTATTGTTTTTATTAAATGGTAATGTGATAGTAGACATATGGGCGATAAACAGTGAAATTCATACTTAATTCAATATACCCAGGAATCCAAAGTTTATAACAATAAAGTTACTATGGATTTAAACAAAGTTTAAATCCATAGGTCTGCCCAGAGTCTGTGCAGACCTATGCAAAAATTGCACCTTAACAGAACCATTTTCTTCGCCCAAATTTTGTGCCATGCTTTTTTCAGTATTTTTAAGAGTGGCATGGTATGAACATGTTTTTCTATGATGATTCCTTGAAATTTGTATCAACATTTTTTTTGAGTATTAGAATAGTTTAACTTTAATTCTATACAAAAATCTTTTTTGTAAAATTTTGTTTATAATGAGTTTATTGTTGTTTAAAACTTCTTTGTTGTGTGTGCATCAGGTATGTATTGAAGAAATGCTGAGACTTTTTTTTTAATATATTCAGACATCTGCAAAAGCCTTTTTTTGTGCTAAATTCCAAATTTCATTAAAAAAAAAGCTCATCCAGACACCCTACTAACTCATTCAAAATAAGTACCTATTTTTGGCTTGAATTCCGCTGTGCACCCGGGTAGTTTAGGGAAGGTGAATCACAACAAACATTTTAACATCAGTAATGTTTAAATGTATATAATTATATAAAATAATATTAAATAGTGTATATAAAATAAAAAAAATATTTAAAAAAATTTAAATTTTCAATAAAAAATTTAAATTTTCTTTAAAAAAGTCTAAATTTTGAATATATTAAAGGGTATTATAGATGCTC